ATGGAACATTCCCAAACGTTTCGCCGGCATCGTCAGTGAGTATCGCCATCCTAAGCAGCATACAGCTACTCGTCAAAGAGACTTGTCTCTATACAACGAAAGGAGACTGCGACCACACAAAAGGCCACACCATCATGGTCTTCATACCTCCTATCTATACTTAGCCACTTCTGAACGTTGGACCTCGCTGTCTTTACAAGCCTTCTTTTGCTGCGCTAATTTTTGGCTGAGGCCTATAGGTCTTACCAACATAATGTCAATTACCGGAGTACAGAATCTTGTAACATCCGGATCTAAATAATGTGTCATGTTTCTTTTGAAATGTAGGCATACTCGGAGAGTTTCTCTGAAACAAGATTGTAACCCTACTTTCTCACTAGTTGCCTATCTTCTTGGAAAGAAGACATGATTGCAAGATTGGAGCATGAGAAAGTCTCAGTCTATCTCCTACCAAATAGTTTCCATCTGAAAATTTATTCCTCTAGAGATATTATCAATTAGGCCTAGAGGATAACTATTTTCAAGGAATACATTTTTCAGTCTTCATAACTGTTTGATCAGATGATATTTATCCACAACCCTCATACTCATAATAATCATAGATTTTAAAAATTTCAACCTTAAGCTATGCTTAAAGAGAAAATTACAAACAAAGCCAGGATATTCTGGTTTTATATTAACTTCTCTGTCTAACTTAGCATCTTCGCTAATAACCATAATATCCAAAAAGGTAATCTTATTCCCCTCATTCCATTTTTTTATTGTTTCTTTTATTGGCTCAGTGAAAGTAGCAAACTATCTAATCTGACCTTACCACGCTGCCAAATGACAAAATAATCATACAAAAATCTAAAAAAAATGAGATAGAATTACCTTATTTATTATGCACGCACATTTTGCAATGTATATATTCTCAAACATTTGAGATAAGCATAAATATATTTTAATTATGTTCCAAACACTTTTTGTTAAAGGTGAATTAAGTGCTACTAATGGATAGGTCAGAAAACCTTAAACTGGAAGCTATATTCAACTTATATAAGATGTGTTCACCATATTTCGCTTAAGGTGATGAAAGACTGTTAGTTGAATTTTCTCACCATGATATGAGGAGAGCTGACGTTTCCATTGAATTTCACATGGCCTTGCTTTCCCAAAAGGTGCTCTCATCCAAGGTGGACTAGAGTTTCGATCTCGTCTAGGTCTTATCCACACCCATAGTGGGAGTCAAACCATGATAGTGCAGTGTGTAAGCTCGACACGTTAACCACTACACCATATTGTCACGAGTGTCCTTGGGTCACAGGGCAGATGCAAATTTCAACGGTCAGGCATTTTTCATTTCGCATTCTGTGTTGGGATTGCCGATGAAACAAACTTATATATGGTATATCAATCGACGACTACTTTTTTCGTTATTGGGTAGGCTTTGGAGACTACCAGTTAACTATATATTTATGAGATGTGTTCACTCATTTAGTCTAAAGTGATGAAGGACTGTTAGTTGAATTTATGAACTCTAGATGCTCATCCAGGATGACCATTAGAGTCTAAATAGTTCCCTGAACTGCAATATTGGCGTACATAGATGCTACGTTAAAAATTCCACCGAAACTCTTATGAGGGCAATAATTTGAAAAATTCATTAAAAAATTTTAAACTTAAACTAGATAAAAGTTGACCACTTGTTTATTTTTTTCTGTGTAAAACTACCCTTAGTGCTTACAAGCAAGCTAGGGAGAATCCTCTCATACATCTTAGGTAGGCCGAGCCGAATGTGCTTTAACATCTCTAAATTGGGAAATTCCTTTTCCATTCTCTCATTTTCCCAATATGTAGGCTTAAATTCAGAGCATTTGTTACTCTAGCCTCATGTCTATTGTGGGATATTTCACCATTTCTAAGTATCATTGTCATTTAAACGCACTGCATAAATATCTAAATATTCTATTCTGAAAATAAGACCTTGCATAAAAGCCTGTTCAAAGTCAAGAATTATCTCCAGCTCTATACTCTTCCTGATTCCATGTAATTCATCTGATGAGTTAATTAGCTCAACCAGTGTGTCAAGAGAATGGTTTACTTCAGTCTGTAGTGTTAAACTCGTTTCTCTTTAGTAGAAATTTCACACCCTGGATAAATTAATTGCATTATCTTTGGGGAAAAAAATTTGGAATTATCTTTATTCATCTTTATTTAGATACGAAGTCTATTGAAGGTATCATAATGTTCAAGCTTTTGAGCTTATCTTGAACTTAAAAATTGTTTCGTCGAAACCGTTAACTATTTGTTGTAACTTTAAGTCCTCTTCTTTAAGAGTCTTAAGCGAATTTTTGTTCTAATTAGTTTGCATGATTTAGTAGTGCTTTCTTTAAGCCTAATTTTAGATTAGATTAGCATACAAGGATTTGCCCGATAAATGATCCTGATCCACTGTTAGTATTGAAACATGAGCAATTAATCAAAATCACCAACATCCCCAAGGTCATCTTTCAACTCTTAATGGGGTCGAATAAGAGTGTCCTTCGTCACCCGTTTATAATTAAAACCTCAACAATAAATATATATTTAATGTACCATGACCAGAAAAAAAACATTCGCT